AAGCAACAAAATTCTATAGAAATAAACAGAGTTGAAAAAAAAAATAGTTTATTAAAAAATGCAAGAAATTCGGGAAAGTTATTTTTGTGAAAATCATATCTAGAGAAAATAAACCAAATCAAAAAGATGTATAAAAATTATAAAAAATATATCTATAAATATATTTTAAATAAGATCTATTGGAGAAAAATATATATAAATTAAAAAAAAGTATAAAACAAAAATTTAAAAAAATAAAATAAATCTTAAACAAAATATTTTTATAAAATAATATTTTGAAATAATAGAATAATAAGTAAAATATTTTCTATGTAGTCTAGCAGGCCTACTAATTAATAATCTTCTTGAATGTTGCGTCTTTGCTTAATTAATTTATTTTATCGCAACTGTACATATTGTCACTCCTCCAATAAGTGGTTAGGACAATGAGTTTGGCAGCCCAAATATATTGGGAAGCTTTAACAAATTCAATGGCTATTTATCTCTTACATACTAACAGAACTGTAATGAAGATTTGAGTTAATATTAATTAAGCAACTACCTGCGATCCATAGATATTTCAATTGTGCTCATATAATAATGAATGTCTCATAGAATTCTAAGCTCAAGGGCTTGTGGCATGTGATAGCAGGCGAGCAGGCAAAATCCCAGCGTAAACTAATTAAGTCAACATTCGAAGCAGTCGATGGCTATTGAATTTCCTAATGGAACCAGACCAGGTGGTCTCTTGAGCATGCCTCCCATACATATTATAAAGGTAGATTGCCTTGTATTCAACAAGTTTTGAATGCACTTCAAATGAATTGCAATGCGTATGATAGAGGCTTACAATGAGGCTTACAGCCAGCTTGTAAATTGTCAATGCTCGTACGTTGCCTGTGTTAATCGATTTATAACATTTTCATTCGTGTCGCAATCAAAACTCGCCGCATTTCTTTACTTGATGGGACGGCTGAATGCCACGGTGTGGCGTGTGCCGCGCACTCTCAAAAAACGTTGGAGGCAGGTGCCTGTTAGCTGGTATAACAGTTATGTAATAGTTCGTTAACAGCGCGGTCTGTTAACTGCTAACAGTAGTCGCGAGAGCCGCAGCAGAAAGAGAGCGCCACACGCTCTTTGTACTCATCATATGGATGTATAACAGTTTGACGATTGCTATAAAATGTGCCGTTTGCATCTGGTTACAAGTTGATTTCTGATTTTTCAGTAGCTCTGCCTCTTACTTGCCACCCCCGAGTTGACCAACCCTTATGGACAGTGTATATGCACGCATAGCTGCCCACTTAGCCAGGACACACACCATGCGTATAAGAGGCTGCAACTCTCTTCGCCATCAATCACTTAATTTTGGCATTTCATTAGCTTCATCTGCCTGTGGCGTTAACAGGAATTTCCGTAACATTCCACTTAACAGCGCCGCGCTCTTTGACTCTTTCACATCTGTGATTCGCTCTTTGAGGTTGACGTCGGCGCAGTGCTTAACAGCAGCGCGGCTGGTAGGGTGTTTTATAGCAGCTCATAGAACAGTTATAAGAGCTTCTACAGCAAGTCTGTTAATTCGCAAACAAAGATCCAAAACTGTACGACCATATTCTGTCTAGATCCACAAAGCTGTTGATAAAGCGGCATTAGATAAGGATACAGATTAAACTAGATGGGGATGCCTAGGCGTTAAGTTGTTAAGCTCTGGCTAAATAAAAGATAAGATAAGATAATACTGTCTGAAGAGACAAGTTTTATTTATTAATAGTTAGCTAGAAACTCTGGGAACATGATGAAAACGATTAATAAAGTCTAAGTGGGATTGTGTGGAGACTTATTAAATTCCCTTAATTTTAGTGGAAAAATATACCATATAATATATACCGATACTATATAACTTTTATCTTCAATTAAAATAT